CATTATATTTAGTAGTCATTGTCTAATCTCTAAATGGACTTTATTAAATAAATCCAGATAAAAGCTTAATTCATTCAACTACATGGTGCATTAATGATAAAGCATCCTGGCAGACTCATGATGATGGAGTTCTGCTTGGAAAGTAATTCTCAGTACAAGGTCCATGTGACCTCTTTTTGTAGTCACTGTGGCCAGTTGGCAGTAGAAATGCTTAGGGTCTTGGAGGGGGTCAAAATAATTCCTTTGTGCTTTATGATATCACATTCTGTGGTCTCAGCCAAATACTTGGCCATATGCTTAAATGGCTTCAAATGTTCTTTTGTTGTTGTTCATTGAGAAACATTTTGACCCTTTTCCCTGATAACAGCATAGCTTGCTTCTATGTCACTTTGCTTGAACAAGGGAAGGTTAGCTACTAAATAGTTCATTACAAAATGTTGTAATGACCAGGGAAGTCCATTGGCTCTCATAAAAGTTTGCAGTTTAGGTTTTTGTGAACAATCCTAGGATTTTTACAGTAAGCAATATTTCAGTTCAGTTCAGTTCAGTCGCTCAAGTCATGTCCGACTCTTTGCCACCCCATGGACCACAGCATGCCAGGCCTCCCTGTCCATCACCAATTCCCAGAGCTTGCTCAAACTCATGTCCATTGAGTTGGTGATGCCATCCAACCATAAGGTATCAGAGAACTGAAGGAATCATTAGAATTCATAATTTAATAAAAGAATAATCAATTAGTGCACATGATTCAGGTAATATTATCTACAGCATAATACCTTTAACAATTATAACTGTTATAACAATTATAAACAATTAAAGCAGTTATAAAAAGTTATAAATGTAACAAAAGAAGATATACTTTTGTTAAAATTTCCAGTTTTATTGTAAAATGGAAATTAATTCCTTGTGAACTAATTCATGAGCTATTTCTGTAACTGTTTCACGTGTGCTTGAAAATAATCTGTTTTTCTCTGTGGCTTAATATCCACATTTATGAAACAGGACGAACCAAAAACATCCAACTCCTTTGATTTTTGTTTTGGAGTTTGAAAAACCAAAGACCAAACTGAAAGACAGAAGAATATGATATTTGTTCATTTTGACTTTCACTGGCAAACTCACAATGTGTATATCTTGACACAAGCAAGCATATAAGGGATCAAGAAAAAGGAAAATTGCTGTCCTTCCTGAAAATAGATTTGTTACCACTGAGTAACAGGTGCTTAATCCTCTGTGGGGGCACAATTCCAGCCTACAGAGGGGGATGAGATGGAAATGGAGGAGTAACCACCTGTGATAGTGATTCTGATCTGTGTTTGATCTGTCTTTGACTCCTGCTGGCCTTGGATATTTATAAAAGGGAAGCCGAAGCTTTGCTGTGCTGCTCAGACTATCATTGTATGCTTGGGTGGGGTGGTGGTCCTCCAACAGGCTGACTAACAGCAGCTGGCTAGTCTAATCAGAGAGCCAGCCTGGTCACTTAGGAGGCAGTATGGATGCTTACCTCAGTTTTCCATTGGAAGGGGAATTTGATGGTCAGTGGCTTCACCTATGGATATAGGTGAGACCCTTAACAGCCAACCTCTCAGGTCATTCACCATAGAGATTCCATGCACCTTGGCTCCTGCACTAACTTTTCTCATGCAGTCTCTCTGTTCTCTTCTGTGAGATCTCATGGAAGCCACTGTTGGCCTTCTACCCCCTCCATTTGTCATCAGCTACGTTTCCTTCTCTTTCCTAGGAGATCTCAGCCTTTCCAAATACAACGAGTCATTAAGAAGTGTTTTCAAAATAGGTATTTTCATATGGGTGTATTTGATCTTATTTATTTCAACTTGTCTATATGTTTGAAAATTATCAAAGTTTAGAGTTGAAAAAAATACATTTTTTTTCCTCTCCACAAAGTCAATAACCTCAGCTATTGGCACTGTCATAAGAGGTCTGCACTTTAACTGGATGAACACAGAGAATAAAGTTAACACACCCCAGGAAAGGACAGCAATTCCAGAGTGAAAGAAGAGGGGAGAGTGAAGAGGGTACCTGGAACTCAAGAGTATCAAGAGTAGGAGGTGGCACCAGAATGACTTCTAATATTTTGGTTGTCATTAGAATAGTAGACTTTTCACCATGCGGGGGTGTGTAGTGTACTATGCACTGGAAAGAGCATAATATCAGAAGGACCTGGTTAGAATTCAGGTTTTGCTATTCAAAACCTATTCAGGTTTTACTGGCTGTGAAATTTTGGTTAAGACACTTGACCACTTTGATTCCATAGTCCTCACATGTGTAAAATGCTAATTTTAATAACACTTGCCACTGGATGTAAAAGTATTGTCACTGGCATAGTAAAATGGTATAGTAATACTCTAAACTGGTTACAAAAATTAGAACATTTTGAGGAGGGAGATTTACATTTCCACTGATGGTCAGTCACTTGCTCTATCAGTGTTGAGAAGAGGGTAGGACTCTGGAGTGGGGGTTTCTTGGTTTTCTCATTACAGGACTGATTGACTTGTAAACTCCATGTTCCAGTTTGACAGTATTGCTTAGGGAGTCAATCTTAGATGCCGAGACCTTCTCCAGCCTTTCTGATGATTGTGTGTGCATGTGTGTGTACTAAGACACTTCAGTCCTGTCAGACTTTTTGCGACCCTATGGACTCTAGCCTGCCAGGCTCCTTTGTCCATGGCATTCTCCAAATAAGAATGCTGGAGTGGGTTGCCATGCCCTTCTCTGGGGGATCTTCCTGACCCAGGGATGGAACCCATCTCTTCTGCTGAATTTGGCAGGTGAGTTCTTTACCACCAGTGCCACCTGGGAAGCCCCTTCTAATGACAGTTAGTCACTCAGTCGTGCCCAACTCTTTGTGACCCCGTGAACTGTAGCCTGTGAAGCTTCTCTGTCCATGGAATTCTCCAGGCGAGAATACTGGAGTGGATTGCCATTCCCTTCTCCAGAGAATTTTCCCAACCCAGGGATTGAACCCTGGTCTTCTGCATTGCAGGCAGATTCTTTACCGTTTGAGCTACAGGGAAGTCCTTCTAATGACAGTAATTGTCTGCAATTCCTCATGACAAACCCCTTTCTTTCCAGAATAGCTAGTTGATTGCTGTAACTGAATCCTGACTGCCTTGTAAACTCTTTGTGGGCAGTACCTCTGTGATATAAAGGAATTATCTTATATTTGGTGGTGGTCGGGGTCAAGGGTAGGGGGGCAGATTATAAATAAATGATTAAGTAAAAGTTTTAGCAAGATAATGACACATACTCCAGATAAAAACAAAACTGGAACTAAGGGGATGAGGAGGTGAATGTTGAAATTTTAAACAGTTTGGTGGTCGAAACTGCTGCTTTGAGTAACCGTGGTCCTGGAAGGCCTCCCTGATAAGATGACTTTTGAAGCCCAACTATCTGTCAATTGAGTACAAGACCCAGGTGGAGATAATGAATTAAAATGCAATTATCCAATTACTTCTTTCCTTATTATCTAAGGAAATGATAAATGATGCTATTTCCCACCTCTAGGTAGTTATTTTATTTACCCGCAGCAAACATGGCAGAAAAAGCTTCATCCTGGGCCACCAATAAAGATGACCACAGTACTTCCTGTGCTTGCCCTTAACAAAGATGGAGTCATGACTTCCTGTTCAGGGGTTCTTTGCCTTCAACAAAGATGGTGCTTATGGTACAGGTTCCCTGACAGTTTGGATTCCGGTTGCAGTTTTTTCCCCCCCTAAGATACGTGTTTGCAGACGTAAGTAACAGGAAACTGGCAACCCCCTATCCATCTTTTCTCAAGGACCCCGCGCCGTGGCGTCTGCGGCCTGGGCCCTGTGCGGCTCCCACGCTCGCTAACTTCTCGCGGCGTTTTGGAGCCGGCCGGGTTGGGGTGGCGGTGGGGGTCCCAGGGCCGCTCTCCCTTCGGTCCGTTCTGCAAGTCATTCCCAGCACCCTTTTTTTTAGCGGGTCAGGTTTCCCGAAAATCTTTCGTAGTTCTTCCCGTTCCTAATACCACAGAACTTCATCTGGTTAGGAAGGGAATGAAAAGAAGTTCCACAAGGGCGGGGGCCGCCAAGGTGCACACCCCACTGCTCACCTGCCGCCTCTTAGGGTCGCCCGCCTTGCTCGTACTTTCTGTTACTTTCCGTGTCACGAAGCTCCACCTGCCGCCCTCGCGGCCCCTCCCCGCCACTTACTCTCCTAGCCATTGCTCTGCTCACTGGTGCTGTGGTCTTGGAAACAAGCTTTCAATGCTGTGTGGATTGTTTTGTTTTATTTTTAGTCTTTTAAAGGAAAAGAAAAAACACCCACAACGTTAAATGTCCCATACATGTGTGGCCATGATAGTGTTGTGATGGAGATTCGAAATCCTTCCAGACAAGGGCTGGCACTTGTGATTGTAGATATAAGATGTATATCGTAGACAGGGCACGAACGCTTCATGTTTTCCTTGAAGGCAGTGGTGTATAGGCCTTTTCTTTTAGGGAAAATGACCCTTAAACTTACTGGTACTTGCCGGTTTCTGGCCCCACTCCCAATGTTGGTCAGGTTCTGCAAAAGCACACGGTCTAAAGGGCACTTGCGTGCACCTAAGCCGTTTCTGCGGTGGTGCGTATCTCTGATGACATCAGTGTTAAAAGCACTATTTCTTTGCAAGTTTTTTTAGAATGAAATGCTCCTCTCTAATCCTAAGATAAAAGTTGCTTTTTAAGCAGGGTCTCTGATCCACTTTCCCCCAAATCTCTTTATAGAACAAGGAATGGAGCTAGGTTCCCATTGTGTAGAAAAGAAAAACAGAGAAGACGATTCATGTTCAGTGCTGTTCATCATGTCCTGAACCATTCAAAATGAATTCAACTTGGCTTAACAGCCACTGTGGCCTGGCGCTTTGCTAGGGTTCGAAGATGTCCTTGACCTTAGGGAGTTTACATTGTAAGACACTATCTTTCGGGGCTCATCAGACTTCCTGTGATCTGAGTTACCATTTTGTCTCTTCCCAGGGGGAAATGGAGGCTAGAGACAAGCAAGTGCTTCGCTCCCTTCGCCTGGAGTTGGGTGCAGAGGTACTGGTGGAGGGGCTAGTCCTCCAGTATCTTTATCAGGAAGGGGTCTTGACAGAAAGCCACGTTCAAGAAATTAAAGCTCAAGCCACAGGCCTCCGGAAAACAATGCTACTGCTGGATATCCTCCCTTCCAGAGGTCCTAAAGCCTTCGATGCATTCCTAGATTCCCTGCAGGAATTCCCTTGGGTGAGGGAGAAGCTGGAGAAGGCAAGAGAAGAAGCCGTAGTTGAACTGCCTGCAGGTAGGCCTCAAAAAGTTCACTCCAGGCCAGCTCCAAAATTGTTGGAACTATGCCCTTTGGATTTGAAGTTGAGATTTTAGTCTGGGTGGAGCTCGGTGAATCCTGAAAGTGGGTAAAGAGTTTGGTTTGAAGGCACATGCTGTTGGAGGGACCAGATGAGGAGATGGAATTATGAAGTGCAGGGAAGGATGGAGAGGGTGAGGAGGGAACTCAGAGGATACATTTAGAAATACTTCCAGGGAAAGTTGGCAGGTCACTTGGGAGGCATGCTCTCATCTGAGAGCCAGGACATATCTTAGTCCTTGGCATCGGGAGCCATTTAGAAAGTGTAGATGGGAAAGCAGGCTTTAGGCTTCTTGATAACTGATTCGTGGGGTGCCAGAGCGGCTAGCTGGAAAAGGTCGGACTCGTGAAGGAGACAGTCTCGAGGAAGGCATGCCTTTGCACCTGTTCCCTGGGCTGTCCTGCATGGCCAATGGGAATTATTTGGAAAGCTGGCTTCGTTTGTTTTTAAAGGCATCCTTTTTAGTTTGGCTTTGTTCAAACACCCAGAGTATTTAATTTTATAAGGACATCAGTTTTTTGGGGTGGGCAGGGGGTGTCACATTTTGATTTTAAGGAAAGTTGGAAGCTATGGAAAAGAGAAACAGTCCTGGTGCTATCGGCCTGGCTTGTAGCAGGAAGAAGATGTGATAGGAAACACTTGTTACATGCTTGACATTTCCCTGTCTTCTACTTTCTGCAGAGACTGAGGAGCAGAGAACTGAACTGGCAAAAAAGGAAAACAGAAAGCTAAGGTTTTACAGCAAAGATAATTAGAACTACTCCAACTTAGGGGTCCCCAGAATTTGTTGTTGCTGTTTTTTAAACACCAATATAACTGGTAAAAAACAAACAAACACAAAACATACCAGTAATAAAAATATCACTTGTGGCTTAGCTGGTAAAGAATCCGCCTGCAATGCAGGAGACCTGGGTTCAATCCCTGGGTTGGGAAGAATTCCTAGAGAAGAGAAAGGCTACCCATTCCAGTATTCTGGCCTGGAGAATTCCATGGACTGTATTAGTCCATGGGGTCGCAAAGAGTTGGACATGACTGAGCAACTTTCACTTCACTTTGTTATTTTTGCCCCATGGTCCTCATATTTTGAATGATTTTCCAGACCACATGTATTAAATAATACTGATTAATTCTTCTCTTTTTATTAATGACATATGTCTGAATATTTGATCTGTATGAGATAACTGGTTGACTTAGGAAGGCCTGTGGAAAAAGCAAAAATATTTTCATTTCATTCAATTGAATTCAATATTTCAGTTTTCAAATTGGATTATCCTTACAAAATAAAATACTCCAGGTGTGTGAACAAAGCCAAACTGAAGTAGCTGTTTCTACCACTTAATTGAAAGCAGAATAAATAACGTAGAAGTGGGGAAATGGTAAAAGAAATGTTAGGGAGTCCATGTTACATGGTATTTGACTTAGAGGTTCTTCTTGGCAATACATATTTGGAAACAACAAAAGAGGCAAAATGAAAGCTTGTTACTACCAAAATATTTAATTTAATTTCATAATCATTGTAGATGTTGTAAATAGTACTTTTGTATGTTGTTCAAAGAGGTGTGACCCCATTTTCATTTCTTGCAGTTCATTCAAAGAACAGTTAAAATTGAAATTATTCTTTTACTAATGTGAAAGTTAACAGAGATGTTGAAGAAAAAAAGGTTTTGTTTTTTTTTTTTTTAAGTGAGCAGCCTGAATCATTAGAGTGGGGGAAAAAACTGAAGTTTGGAAAAATAACATTAATTTGTTAATTCTGTGGAAGTGGTCAAATGGAACAATAGGTTGGCTGCTACACAAATGAAGTCCTCTTCATTGTTTTACTTCTTGTTGAGTAACACTGCTATTGAAAGAAATATCCTGAAGAGAGAGTTTGATTTATGTAATGTTCTGTGTACCTCCCACAGTGGCAATTACTCAAACTCACTTTTTAAATAGTTTTTGTTAATTATTGAATATTTTTAAGTAAGATTACAAAATATAATAAAGTATGAAGAATAATGGTAAAGTGAATACCTATTTCCCTGTCAGTCAGTTAAAAAAAATTTTCATGGCAATTGAGGACCCCTGGGTGTCCTCGCAATCTTAGCTCATCCCCAGCCTCCACTCACTAATAAACCCCGAATTTCGAGTTTATCATTCCATTCTTCACTTTGTAATTTTCCATTTTATAAAAGTCACTTTTAAAATCAACATATGTTATGGAAAATTCACTACACCGTAGGTTTCAGCACTATCTATGTATATAAGGCATGGAGGAAATGATATACTTTAAAGGAGTTGTTAGTTAACAGCCTTCTTTATTTGAGACCTTAAACCTTAAGTTTTATATTAATTAATTTGATGGCAATATTTTAATTATAAAATTAAATTAGGACTGAATTGGAAACCTATTTAAAAACATTCTATGAAGAGTACTAGACTTGAAATGCCTTCAGTTTAATGTCCCTGTAAAACTTGCAAATGGACCCAGAGGCCTGTTTCCCAGGATCCCTGTGCTTCTTTGGTGTTGTAATGGAGTAATTTTAATAAGCTTTTAAATAGTTCATTGAAATTTTTTAAAAGGCATGTTTGAATTTTGAGGAATTGGAATGTAGGAAAATGTGGTGCTTATATATATGTGGGTGTATACGTGAACCTGTTCTGACTTCTTACTCATTTTGGTTGCAAATATTAATTAATTTGTGTAGGCTTGGTGGTCTCCTCTTGGGAGGCTTTGAAAACAAATGGGGAGAAATGGCTTTCTCTTTGGCCAAGGGGTCAATCCTGTTTGACCTGAATGAACTGATTTTATTTTATAAAAAATTTTCTTCTTTTGGTCTTCTTGTTTGGTTCTTGGTTTTCCTTTTGTTTGTCTGGGAAATTTTTGTGTCTCACTTGTAAACTTGGAGCTACCTCAAAGGCCATATTTGGTGATTAATTCTAGTTAGTTGCTTTTAATTTATTTCCTGGGTGTCATTTTTTAGAAAAGAATCAAGTTGTATCTTGATTCGGTCTGTTCTTCTAAACTGTGCCGCCAGGAAATCCCAAAACATAAAAACAAAAAAGCAAACACCAAAGAAAATACTTTAAATCTTTGATGGTCTCCGAATATGCCTATATAACGGGTATCCCTATTTTTGTTATTGTGTATTTTTTAAAAAGCCCAACACGTTAATGGATGATTGACTTCTTATTTTTCTCACCTTATAAAGACTTTTATGTTTTAAAAGAGGAATTCTGGTGATAAAATGACTTAATCCATCTTGGCACCATGGAAGGAACACTTCACAGTGTGTCCCTTACTGGCCAAGGTCACACACTAGACACTAGATCAGCTGGAAATCCTCCCTGGGCTCCTGGCAGGTCACTGAGAGGATGAGGACAGTGCCGAATCAGGGTAAACGTGCCATGTGCTTGCCTGCCTGGCTGCCCACTACTCATGGGCCTCTGTCTAGGCTGACAAGCTCATGTGGGTGCCTGAGCTAATCTGGATCTGGAAAGGAGGTTTGTCAGCAGCCTGGTCTCACCAGCTGGTGGGACTTAGCCTTAAGTCATGGTGGGAGGGATTTGTGGGTCCAAGGACTCCCTGTTCTACCATGTTGGCCCGGGCTGTGGGACTGGGTCTCTGCCGTGATTCCCACTTAGCAGTCAGCCTGGCAACTCTTCTTTTAATTCCATTCCTTTTTAGGCTCAAGAGTTGTTTTTTTTTCTTCCTTCCTCATTGGGCTAAATTTCTGCTTTTATAGTCTCTTAGCCACCAGCAAGGATGAAGGACAGATACCCTGGAATGCAGCTCATCACCTCCTGTATTAGCCTCAGATGCCTGCTGTAGTAGCTATCCTGGGGCTGACATTTGTTGTAGCTTTGCCTGAGCTGGTTCTTGTCATGGACCCTTTCCCTGGCCTGTGTGGCTGCCGTCACCAGAGCAGGATGTAGGACTGGCTTGTTTCCCCTCTACCCCAGAGTCTCCAAGACTCAGCCTGTCCCTTTTGGAGCTGGCCTTGTGTGACCACGCAGAACCACACCATCCACTGTTTCGGGATATATTCAGGCTGTCAGATGTATACTTGGATATACCTGAAGTTCCTGAGCAATAAAGGGAAAAAGAAAATCCTGTAGGTATTGTAACAGGTTTATTAGAGAGATTTCTAGGGTGGGATTTTTTAATCATACCATGAATTCATACCTACTCTGGGGCTTCCCTCATAGCTCATTTGGTAAAGAATCGTCTGTAATGCAGGAATCCACCTGCAGTGCAGAGCACCCTGGTTTGATTGCTGGGTCCAGAAGATCCCCTGGAGAAGGAAATGACAACCCACTCCAGTATTCTTGCCTGGAAAATCCCATGGACAGAGGAACCTGGTGGGCTGCAGTCCATGGGATTGCAAGAGTGAGACACGACTTAGCGACTAAACCACAACCTGGGTATGGTAAGTTCAGTGTTGATCTTAGTTCATCAGACTCATGGTGTGTCCAGACCCTTCCTCTGTGGCTGAGTAGCGTTCACTCTACTCCTCATGCTAAAGGCAGAGTCTACAGTGAGCCTGAGTGTCTGTGTGTCTCCAGCACAATTATCATATACTTCTTGAGGACTAAGTAAGTGCCAGGCACTAGTTAATAAAGATGCAGGAAGGCTCTCCAGATAAACTGAGAAGATCCATTCATTCATTTGGCAAATATTCGTCTTGACCACGTGGCAGACATTGGGTGCTAGGCGTACTGTAGTAAACAAACTCCCGCTCTTCTGGACTCCTACTATCCTGTAGTCTCATGCGGACAGACAACAAGGAGGTGAATGAACAATACAACAGGTTGAGAGTGCTTTGAAGAAGAACACCATGCAAGGTGGTGAGGAGGGGCTTTCCACAGTATATGGGGTGGTCAGAGGAAGCTGCTTTGATGGGAGGACATTCAGCAGAGACCTGAATTCTTCAGCAGAGTGGATGCCTGGAGGAAA